AATTATAATAAATAATTTGCATAAAATAAATAATAACATAATAGAATTGTAAATATCATCAATATTTTAAGCCTTATATATAATACTTTATAATGTATATCATAAATGTAGTACTTTATAACCAGGGACGGAGCCAGAAAAATACTTGAGCGGGGGCGAAGTTTAAATGACAGTTAGCAATATCAATTACGAAATATCAAACAATCATAATAAGGTTAAAATACAAAATATATTATAAATTACAATAGAAATTTTTTGATAGATTAAACGATAGTTAGAATCAAAGCAAAAAAGTATACTTGAGTGAGGTAAAAATGTAAAATAATTTGAATAAAATGAAGCATAATATAAACTTGTATACTACATTAATTAAATGATTCATAAAAAGTAGACTAAAAGAGCATTTAATTTGTTAATTAAATGATTCATAAAAGTAAGCTAAAAAATATTTATCTTGAGAAGGAATGAAAGATATAAAATAAATAAGTGAAGATGGAAAAGTGTTTTTAATGAGATTCGAACCTATAACCATACACTTTTTTAAAAATTAAATTTAAAGCTCAAACAACTAAGCTACTCTAACTATTAATAAATCAAACATAAATATAAATTTTATATAACATTTAATGCTATATATGTCGATATATACATACATATATATATAAAGGGGTGAGGTGGGGGAGTGGGGGCAGCTGCCCCCACTGCCCCCATACTGCCTCCGTCTATGTTTATAACAAAACTTTAATAGACAATTTACAAGGAATAAAGTAATAACATAATAAAATTGCAGATATAATCAATACTTTATAGCATAAGTAATACACATTTTGTAGGGAATAAAGAAAAACTATAACAGATATAATCAATACTTTAAGCTTTATATATAATACTTTATAACATAAATGTAATATTTTATAAGAAAACTATAATAGATACTTTGCAGGAAATAAAGTGTCATTACATAATAGATTTGTAGATATACTCAATACTTTAAGTCTTATGTATAATTACTTTATAGCGTAAATATAATATAAAAAGGAAAACTGTAATAGACAATATAATTTGGAGAAAATAATATTACTAATTAAGCTCATATACCATAAGACTCAAATTATCGTGATCCGACCCATCTATCTCACGGATTGAGACCAATGAGATGATCTCACATGAGAATTTGTTTTCATTTTAAAATTTTTAAATAGGAGTTATAATATAATATAATCATATTTGTAATTTAACGTTATTTACTACTCTACATTCCTTAATTTTAATTTCTTTGTATGAAAAAGTAATTAGATCCTTAAATTTAAAAAGTTACAAATAAACATTTTAACTCAATGAAACCGAGCAATATAATTAAGTTATTTTCATTGGTAATTAACAGGTTACCGGTAAAAGGATAATAACCTAACATATTTCTTATTTTTCTATTAATTTATCAAACTCTTATTTTCCAGTGAAAATCGTGACTTTCATTCTTCCTTGATCTGAAGAAGGGGGCTAACTAGTGGCCTTTTTCTTCACATAAGCATAGGATGTCACGTGTTAGCCTAGTTAACACTATATCAGTGATAACCTGCAAAATAAGTAATAATATGGGTTAATTGTATTATTTTGTCGATTTGAAGAACTTCATTTGAGACTTTTTTAAAATAATAATAATAATAATAATAATAATAAATATAATAAATAATAATAATAATAATTGTTTAGCTAGCGTCGCCGTCTTCGTTCACTGCAGTGGAACAGTCCAGTCCAGTGGACGAAGCATAGAGATGCTTCGTCGGTTCGTCCAGTGGACTATGGACGAATCGAAGTGGTCCATATCTGCTTGCATGCGCCGCCATCTTCATCCATAATTCCCATGCATATATCACGTTAATTGGAACCTTCATCTTTACTACTCTTCCTTCAATTTTTTATTATTATTATTATTTGGAAGCCCATACAATTCAAGTACGTTTTTAACTAAAATGATTCTGATTTGGATGCCACCATAACAGGTAACTTAGCTTGCCACAACTGGTTCAACCAGTTTAAATGCATGCTTAGTTTCTTTAATTTATTATTATTATTGGTTCTTGAGTCCTTTGCTCTTTCAGATCAATTCATTAATTTGCAGCAAAATCTTAATTACCAAAAAGATCTTTACTTTGGTAATGGAATGTCTTGATTCTTTAGTCTGTTGAAAATGTTTATACCCCATAACAAAACCACTATGATTTTTATGCTTTTTTTTAGAATAGTTACTCTTGCCTTGAATATTTCATTAGTATAATATGAGCATTGGGTGTATTTGAAGGTCTTTTTTGGGCTTAAAATGTTTTGTGTTTTGAAACTGTGCAGGAACGCAGGGAAAGATTTGGAATGGGTTTTCTGAGTTTATTAAAGGTGGCTTCTATGCCTGTTTTGAAAGTGCTGATGATCAGTGCACTTGGATCGTTGCTGGCTTCGGATCATGCACACATCTTGGGGGAGAATGCAAGAATGCATCTAAACAATGTTGGGATTTCCTATTCCTATTCCTATTCCTAGGATTTAATTTAAATGAGTGTTAGTTCTTCAGATGAGGTGTTGATTAATGTACTAACTTTAATTTGTGTAATCAGATGGTGTTTTTCGTGTTCAATCCGGCCCTGGTTTTCAGCAACTTGGCCAGAAGTGTTACTTTGGACAGCGTTCTTTTGTTGTGAGTTCTCAGATTACATGCATTATGGAGCTGATTGAGTATTATTTCCTCTGATCTGTACAATTTTGTGTCATTCTGAAATACAAATGATTCTTTATGTTCAGGTGGTTCATGCCCTTCAACATTCTTCTCACTTTCATCTTAGGCTCAGCACTTGGGTGGATTCTTTTCAAGCTCACCAGGGCTCCTCAGCATTTGAAAGGCCTTATCTTGGGTTCTTCTGCTGCAGGTAAGTACATGTACAAGTAAACACATTTTCACCCGCATGCGTAGCTCAGCTGATTAGTTGATTCTTAGGTGGTTGATTGTGGGCAAGATCGAGCCTGGCAGTCACACGTGGGAGTTACACCCAATGCAGTGGCCACCAGGCATTGGTCCTGGAGGCGAGGGAATTTCGCTTTTATGTTTTTCATTTCTCGAGAAAAAATGGAGAACTTCTCCGGTTAATAAATACACAATTGGTTTTTGTCTATCTCATTAGGAAACATGGGGAATTTGCCTGTGATCATCATTCCTGCAATCTGTAATGAGAAAGGCAGTCCATTTGGAGCAGCAGATGTCTGCCATACATATGGAATGGTTTATGCTTCCCTTTCAATGGCTGTATGTATAGAGTATAGTATTCCATCAACTTCATATTTCAATTCTCAAATTTTAACCTGCAAAGTAGACACTGTATTTTTCACTTTACTATGATTCCTTCAGATTGGGTCGATTTGCTTGTGGACTTGTGTTTACAACATCGTACGCGTTTCCTCAAACAACAACAAGAATAAGGACATCAGTGCACAAACCTCAGCAACTTCCATAGACTGCAAAGGGGAGAGATCTTACATGGATGATGCATATCATGCTCTGCTTTCATGCCCCCAAGCCACTGACAAAGAAGAAAAGGTTTTTTTTAAACTGACTTTTAAGGAGCAAAAGGCATTGTAATATTTGAGATGTTAATGACTGTCATAATCTTTTGCAGGTTCCCATAACATGCCGGATTAAGAAACAGCTGACCATGCTTTCAAGAAAGATGAATCTGAGAGCTGTGCTTGCACCATCAACTACTGCAGCAGTAACCGATCTCTCTTTTTTTTTTCTTTTTTTCTTTTTTTTTTCATCGGATCCATAGATGTAGATGATGTTGTTGCTCTTAACAGATTGCTGGATTCATTGTTGGATTAGTGCCTATATTGAGAATGCTACTTATTGGCACTACTGCTCCTCTTCATGTGGTCCAAGATTCTGCTTCTTTACTAGGGTACAATTCATTCCCTCCTGCATTTCCCTTCGGCTTCTGTAATTGAAGAATGTGTTTCGTCTCATATTTATATTTACTCAATTCACTGCAGGGATGCAACGATTCCGGCTGTGACATTGATAATAGGAGCCAACCTGCTGAGTGGTATCTGTCCACACAATCCCATACTATATATATGCTAAAGTAGTATTATTCAGCTAAATTTTAAGAAATAAAAATGAAACTCTGAGTTGCAGGATTAAAAGGGAAAGGGATTCATCTATCGGTTGTGATTGGAATAGCAGCAATTCACTACATATTTCTGCCTCTAGTGGGCATTGTGGTAGTGAAGGGAGCAATCTATTTCGGTTTGGTGCACTCCGACCCCCTCTATCAGTTTGTTCTTCTACTGCAGTTTGCAGTTCCTCCAGCTATGAACATAGGTTAGCACTTCAGCTTAGCTTACTTTACCCACTCTTTTTTGGGTACATTCTCCCACCCTTTTTATTCAACAATTATAATTCTCAATTCAATGAATCAATGTTGAAAAAATCGCTAGGCGCCCTCTAGGCGCCTGGGGACCGCCTAGGGCGCCTAGGAGGCCGACCGCCTATCGCTAATTGGCGCCTAGGCGCAATTTTTGCAACACTGCAATGAATGTATAAATAATAAAGCAAACAAAGAATGAGTTAGTTTTTATCACCTTAAAAACTTGAAAATTTTCATTTGTGGGCTGTGGCAGGTACTATCACTCAACTTTTTGGAGCAGGAGAGAGTGAATCCTCTGTTATTTTGCTGTGGACATATGCCTTAGCATCCATTTCCCTTACTCTTTGGTCCACATTCTTTATGTGGCTAGTTGCTTGATTTTGAATGAATATTTACTCCTTTCCAAACTAGAGTGTTAAGTGTATGTGTATCAAATCAAATAAACCTTATTTATTTTGAATAAATATCTGTCTAGTTTTTTTTTTTTTTCTTTTTCATTTTATTTACATACATAGAATCAAAATTTAAATTGTGATCTCCTACTTAAATAAAATATCTAATTATATTTAGCTAAAAAGGGTACAGAGAGCATGAGCAAATGCAAAGAAATGAACCAACTTCCCCGGAATGTGACAATTAGGCCAAAGAACAATACAGGGCTGATGACTCACATAATTTTCAACTGTAGATCAACATAACCAAGCCTCTTTTTATGCTTTTCAAAGAGTTCTAGCAAGGCTTCTATAAACCGACTGTGTAGTGCCGCAAGCTTCCATTCAATTCCAGTGTAAATCCAGTTAGGGAAAAAAAAAAAAAAAAAAGATTTCATTAGGAGTTTTTCTTTCAAGGACGACACGTACCTGTTCTTCCGTGGGTTGTGAGTTCTTCCCTACTTCAATTGGTTTGCCAACCACTACATGAATTGGACGTTGGAATGGTACAAAAGACCTGCCACAGAAAATGCATTTTCTTACTTCAAAGCCTGCAAATTACCAGAAAGTAACCTAAAAGCTGGAAAAGCATTGAGTCTACATTTCATTCAAAGGATCAATACACAATCTTCAAATTATGGCTCCAGTATTGCTATAGGGTGAAGGGGTATCAAACACTTATAGGGATTTAGTACTATATATATACCAAACAGAAAAAATAACCTATATAGGGTGGAACGTAGCTGAGTTTGAAGATAAGATGAAAATACTGCACTATTATAGCAGAAACTTGAAAGATAGTTGAAAAAGGTCCCTCACTTACCCCATGTAACCCCAGAAGAGAATTGGTGTAAACTTAACAGCTCGAGAAAATTTCAAGTAAAGTTTGCTGCTAGGTTTCCACCAGTTATACACATTTGACTGCAGATTTCACACAAAAAGTCAACTAGTCAAGTAAAATTAACATTGCTTCAAACAGAACGTTTGAAGTGAAGCATTGACAGTTTGCGATGATTATCTAAAAAGAAGTGGGCATTTAGGGAAGCGCCACAAAGATAAATAATAAAAAATTATACCAAACATATAACCGTGCAGCAGAAAGTCAGAGCAAGTGATAAAGCAAGTATACACAGCTGAATATGAAAATATCTTGGAAAGCATTTAAGCAGACAGGACCAAACAATTTCGACGGTACTAATATAGAATTCTGAAAGCAAATCAACCAGCCAATAAGCAAGCATATGAAAGAGGTAAGAGGCACCACTGTGAATGTTGGAAAACCAAGTTCCCATCCCTGTAAAGATATGTTACTAGTCATAAATCAATCACTTTATTTTAAGAAACAAGTCTACTTTTAAGTTTTAATAAAGCCAAGCACGGTTATGGCAAATAAATTGTCAACAGATGAAAAGAGCTTGAAAGTGGACTTGCATTGGGAAAATGATAATTCTTGATTACTTTGTCAAGCAATCTTTCCCAGATTCTGAAAATCTTAATGAATGTTAAGAGATACGACTATAATTTAGTTTGGCATAAAGTTGGGGCTCATTTGAAGACCTAATATATCAATGAGATTAGATATAACAGAAAACATCACAGTAAAACAGTGGCCAATCAATTTATCATGCAGTCTTAAAGCAATAGAATTCATAAATTCAAAATTTTGAATTTCCAAGAAAAAAATGGATAATAACATGAAGTATACCTGGCCAAAACAAAATACTGGAACCAGAGGTGTGCCCATCTTCATAGCAATCTGTACAAATCCTTTTCTTGATTTCAGGAACATAGTCTGTGAGACATTATGTTTAGTAAGAATGGTTTCCTAGTGCTGTCTTGATTTAAAATAATTGGTTACAGAATGACTGTAAGTAACACATGTAAGTCCTCCACAACAGAAACATACTGTAGGATAGTTGTACAACTATTTTAAAATAAATCAAAATACATGAAGCTTCTTCTTTTCCAGCAGAAATTTTCTAAAAATACCATAGTAAATAGCCATTTATTTGTATTGACAAGCAATCAGGAAGGAAAAGAGTTGAGTAGGACGAAGAGAGAACCCAAAAAGTATATAAAAAAAAAAAAAAAAAAAAAAAAAAAAAAAAAAAAATCAAACCTCACAATCATGCTCCATATAATATGCTTCCTGAACTCCACCTGGCACTACGATGCAGCTATACCCAGATGACAGCAGGGACTTAAAGCTTTGCTTCCCTGCAGGTGATATTCCTAACCAAGTCCATATATGCCTCATCACTGGAGTATAAAACACCTGGCATATTTTCCGAAAGTCGACTGAAATTGACAACTGAGTAAAGAAACCAGAAACTACAAATCTAACTTCTTCATAAGTAAGCCAAAATTCTTACAGCAGTACTACCGAGACCTTTGATTTTGGGGAGGGGCATGAAACCAGTAAAGGCAGAAAGTGTAACCATTCCAATTGGCCAAATTGAATGTGGTTCATAGCCAAAAACTGTGAGGAATAAGGAGAAAGTAAGTACAGTTTTAACTCAGAAGAAATGAAAGATATTTTGGTAATTCCTCTTTTACGTAGAGTTTGGTATAGAGGTACCAAAAGGGGAGAGCTGAAAAGGGAAAGAAACAAAGGAAAACATATTCTCTAATCTCCATTGTCAAGTAATACAAAGAAGTACTGGATAGACAAAGAAGTAGAAATCAGTGCAGAACTGATAAAAATTAACTTCTGAGTATATCATGTCTGGCCTACTAAGCCCACACTCTTCTCACAACTAGCTCTGTTCAGAGTGTGATGAAAATTTTAGCAATAAAATGCTGATTACTTGCAAAGTTTAGTATACCAAAGAAATAAAGTGAGATTTATTTTCTTCTCAATTTCATCATCTCAGAGAAACTTACCGTATGCACGATTAGGTTCGAAAGCTTTGATATCCTCCACGTACAAATGCATTGGAAAGTAACCGGAAGCTTGCTTACAAAGGTACCTGAAGATCACTGAACAATATTAAATACTTTTTTTTTAATGTCAATTTGAAAAAAATCATTCAAATAAACTAATAAACACTGAACCTCGCAAATCTAAGGCCCCATTTACTGTTTTGATCAATCGGAATGAACATCAATAGAAACAACAATCCAATTACCCTGAAATTAAGAATTAATCACACAATAGTTCAGTCGCACACACACATTACAATGAATAATCGCGTAAATAAGAGAGAGGAGAGGTATACATGATGGCCTTGGTGAAGGGGAGGAAGATGATTGAGGCCAATACGACGACAACGATAGAGGGAGGAACGCCGAGCCACGCCAACATCATCAACGTCATCAGAAGCGAGTTGGCACTGGCTGTTCCGATGAATTCCGCCGGAGTGGGAGGCGGCGCAGCCTCGTTCGACGGCGACCGGTGCTGCACATTCCCGCCTTTCTCCTCCATGTAATGTAGCTTGTACAAGACTCTAATCTACCTCCCTGTCTCAGTACGTACAGTCAGTATGCCTGGATTAAGCTAAAACGAAAAACGCCATTTCCATCATACACAAACGCCTCATTCAATCTCTATGTATTCCTGTCACAAATCCATATGAGAAGAGAAGAGAAGATATCACCAATTCTGTTATGCTAATGCTAGGCATTACTTTGGACACTCATAATTTTTTTTTTAAATTATATTTATGAAAAGATTTTAGGAAAAAATATTTCCAGTTTATTATCAAAACACAATTCAATTAACATTCAAATACTATAGACATAGGCTATTGAAATGGCTAAGTAAAACAAAATAATAATACTCGTATATGTCATTTTGCCGTTTAAAATGTTAAACAGCGACTATTCAAATGACGTGTGTCTTTATTAGTATAACAAGTGGCACCCCAGTTCAGACGAGCGGAGAACTGTTAATTTGCATTGAGTGGCGTGCCACTTGATAAAGTTGTTTAAAAAATAGAATTCTAGTACGTGTACTCTTAATTTTTACTCTTTGATGGATAAGTTATAGGAAAATAATGCATGTACTCTTATTTTTTACTTTTAATTTTTATTCTCATACTTAAATATTAACATAGACACTTTAATAGAGGCTCACATGAAGAAAATAACACATTAGAGTCCGCGAGTAAGTAAATTTGAGAGAATAAGATTTATGAGTACATATAGTAAAACTCTTGCGTTTGGTTCAGGTTATATAAGATAATCAGGGGGCGTTTATTTTGGGAATGTAAGATTACTTTATATGTTTGATTTGGATTGTGTAATATAATATTACCTTGTTCGGTTAAGGGTTATATTTTAGGTTATATGGATCAAATTACTATAAAGTCATCAATATACACACACACACACACACACACACACACACACACACACACACACACACACACACACATATATATATATATATATATATATATATATATATATTTGTTTATTTATTTATTTATTTATTTATATTTATATATTTATTTATATGTGTGTGTATTTATTTATTTATTTATATGTATGAATGTATATCAATGCCTAAATATTTTTTAAAAAAAAAAACTAAATATGTAAATATACACACATTTATATTTGATTATATAAATATATATTTATTTCATTGTTATTGTTGTTATTATTATTATTATTATTATTATTATTATTATTATTATTATTATAATATATAAGGATTAGTTAACAAGGGCAAAGTTGGAATAATTCAATGTAATCTAAGATTACCTAAAAAAATAGGGGTAATCACATTACCTTGAAACATTACCGCCACATCAGCTTTCAGGTAACATAACATTACCAGGTAATCTCATCACTTGAACCAAACAAGGTAATAAAATATTACCAAACTCGATTACCTAGGTAATCTAAGATGACCTGAACCAAACGCCCCCTCAGGGGGCGTTTGGTTCAGGTTATATAACATAACCAAGGGAATGTGACATTCCAAAGCTCACATTCCGGTGTTTGGTTCATATTATCTTAGGGAATCTAACATTCCCAAGGAATGTCACATTCCCTCCACATAGGATTTTGAAGGGAATGTGATTCCCTTCAAAATCTTAGGTAATGTAAGATAACCTTGGTTATCTTAAGGATATTATAGTGTGTATAAAAGATAACCCTAAACCAAACATGATTATATTACATACCTCAATTTTAACCAAACACAGGAATCTAACATTCCCAGTAATCTAACATTCCCAGCAATCTAACATTCCCTAAGGTAATCTGACATTCCGTGAACCAAACGTCCCCTCAAGGTTATATTTGCTTGGTAATATAAGATTCTCATGTTTGGTTCAAGTTGTGTAACTTTCCCATGGAATCTCATATAAACTCCGCATTAAGTTTTTAGCTATTGGAAGGGAATGTGAGATGCCATCTAATTTCTTAGGTAATCTCACATTCCCTTGTCTTATTACTAATGTTGGGTTTTGGACTTTTTAATCAATTTATCTTATTACCGTTGTCTTATTTACATATCTTAGTTTTAAACCAAACACAGGAATCTAACATTCCCAGTAATTTAACATTTCTAGCAATTTAACATTCCGTGAATCAAACGCCCCCTTAAGTTATATACTTATCTTCATTATGTGGATTAAAAGAATGTCAACATTAAAATGGAGAGTAGAATTTGGAAGTCTAAGTAGTGTTTTCCTTTAAAATATTACGTGGGCAAGAACTTGTGTAGGACGTGAAACGTGTCAAAATGAAAATGTAAAATTAATTCAGAATAAAGTATTTGTTACTCATAATAGAAAATGTAATACTTTTGAGAAAAAAGTTCAATAATTATAAAATTAACATTGTGTTTTTTTTTGTTTGTTTGTTTGTTTTTTTTTTTTTTATTAAAACTCTCAATCATTGTCTTCAAAAAATGCTCTCAATCATTGATGAACCCTGATATGCGGTTGAAAAGTATAGGATATTTATCCTCACTTTTTATATAGGGAGTCTGTTCTCACCTAGTATTTTTGTAATTACGATTGTGTATCTTGAAATGCATGATTGTGCGTTCGGAGATAAGTAATTGTGCATCTGAAAACATTCTCCAAGCGTCCTGTCAAGTATATATTATTAGGGAATATTCCTTGGGTATACCATCCCTTTACATATTGTATATTAGCTCCGTATCCGATCAGCTTATTGAGCGGAATAATTCTTAAGCATTATCGACCTCAGAACCTACCAACCCGACCTAAATAATTATGCTAAGCGGGGTAGAGTTCGTATCTCGTACTGTACCTACCCGCCTTTTAGATTCACCCCGACTATTTTAGGTCGGGAAGTGTCACCCGACCCTCTCTACTCGAGGCATTTGGCGTCGTTCCTCTGCTCGAACCCTATGGCCGCAATAGCAAGGAGGCCAGGAATATAATCCCAAAACACGTGGAGGAATTAGTATAGCCTCTGGCCTGCCCGTGTGCATGGCACCACGTGTCACACATGCATGAGGGTCCCGTGCTTACAATCATGTGTTTCCTTTCACCTCCTATAAATACAACATTAAATGCTTGTGTGGAGACTTTTGCAATCTTTTATACAATAATATTAAGCACGGAACCCTCCGACTCACTATCGTGTAACCCGAGCTCGATCAAGTACTTAAACCAACAAGCAGACTATGAATGGTCAAAAGGATCCTTGTACGATCTGACTTCTGTACTTGTAGGAATCACCGCATTTACTACATATTAAAAAAAACATGGTAGCATTTATGTATTTATGATTGTGCATATTGTGATACTCCGTTAAAGTATTATACATGTCTAGTTCAGTTAATAATGCTTAATTGAAGTTATTTTTAATTTAATTTTTATAATATTAAATTTATTTAGTATTATATATAAAATTTATATATTTAAAAACTATATTAAAAATATTATTAAAAATGTGGCTCATGTGCTTGCACGGACATCATTCCTTGTTTGTTTTGGGTTCGTGGGTTTCATACCCTCCCGCTCCTATTGTTGGTTTGATGAGTTCTTAATATACCTATTGTTTGCTTTCAAAAAAAACACAATTTTTTTTAAATAATTTTAAAAAAATAAGCGAAGAAAATCTAATTAGTTTGACAAATAATGAATAGTAAATATGATAAGGTAAAATAAGAGACATGAAAATGTTATACAAAAACCAGTCCATTTATTTATATATGTAATCCTTGTTGTCATCTCCCCAATGTTGTCCACCAAGAGAATACGTACAGTACAGGACACTCAAGAATATGCAGTACATACACTGTACAAGAAGTAGAAAGATCGAGCTCGTGCTAATTAAATTTTTAATCACCATCATCACCTTTAGAATCTTTGTCAAAACATTTTAGCATTCCGTAAGTGATGGCCATGGAAATCCAGCCTCCAACCAGAACTCTTCCGGCGGATTTCCTCACCGGCGATCCGCCAAAATACGCTCCAGCTCCACCGAATACGGCCAGCGCTACGGATGCCAAGCCTACGATCATAATGATCCTTATATTGTTGGGTGCTGCCACCATAGACGTGAGCAAAGGAGGGAGTGATCCGCACAGAAAAGCCATCCCAGATGCCCCCGCCGCCTTGTAAGGGTTCGGCAGAGCTTTCATGGATAGCTCAGTTGGTTTCTGAATGGCAGATTGCGGGTAAGCATTGCTAACTATCTCAACCTTAATTTTACCTTCTTCTTCTACAGTACTGCAGCTTCCGGCGAGGACTGACTTCTCGATATCTCTCTGCGTGGACACGGAAACAAACTCTCCGACGGCCATGCTGCAAGCGCCGGCGAGAGCGCCGGCGAGCCCCGCGAGGATCATGTCCCGCTGATCCTCTTTTGCCGCGCCAACTCCGATCATGAGCGACGCAGTGGACATCAACCCGTCGTTCGCTCCCAGGATGGCGGCGCGCAACCACTGACCCCGCTGCAACTGCTTTACCGGATTCTCGTCGGCATACTTATCAGCTAGCTGAGGAGATGATGATGATGATGATGATGGCGCCATGTTTAATGCAGAAATGGAGTGTGGCTTTTTGAGTGGAGGCACACATATGGTGTGTGTAGGCAATACGCCTCTAATACTATAAATTAAAGGGCATGAAAGAAATTCACTTAGGTGGCATCAAACGTTAAATTCTAAGAAAGTATAAAGAACCAACCAAAATCTATCTATGCTCTAGAAAGCGAATCCGCCATGTTTGATAACATAATTGGCTTATCAGTCAATTTTAGGTTGTTTGATCCCTATTAACTATTTAACTAATATATATATATATATATATATATATATATATATATATATATATATATATATATGAGTGTTTGATTAAGTAACTTTTTTGTAACAGCTTATTACTTCAAAAAACTAAATTTTAAAGTGTTGTTTAGAGTCGTCTTTTCGATCAACTTTTAGAGAATGTCATTTTGCATGTAATAGATTATCAGGAGTATCAACTAATAGCTAATTTACTAAACATCTTTATACAATCAGTTGATGTTTATCAACTAGTCAAATCTCCCTAACACAATCCACTAATAGCTATTTACAAAACACTCTCATATGTATTACCAACATATTGGAACAACTTTGTCACTTAGCTGTTGTGATGCAATATTTGCGACAAGTGCATGTAAATATAGGCCAGGTTTGCCTTGTTTGTGATGTTAATGGTTTTTTTGGTACTTCATTACTTTTGTACCCACTACCCAATGATTCATTCTGGATGGTGGAGATTCCTAGTTTGATGATGGCAACACCATTGATCCACAGAATATAATGAATCTTAATTAGAAGAACAAAAATCATTTGGTTTAATTTGCAAAACAAATAAATTTCAGAAATTGCATTTCAATGTGTGGTTAATTTAAGGAATAAAAGTGCAAATTAATATATATATATATATATATATATATATATATATATATATAGTACCGTACTCTATATTCTAAATTATTATTATAATTTGATTTATTTTTTTTTGGTTAGATTACATTTTTTTTTTCAATCAAGGTACACTAAACCTCAAACATCAAAACTAATATTATATTTGATTGTGCCGGGTAAGACCTCAAAAAAGGGTAGAGTGCAAATCCTAACCCTTTGGTTAAGTTGTAACACACATATATGTCATTTCATCCACATTGCATAGGTATTATTATTAATATTATTATTATTGAATAATTTTGTATTATATAACAAAAATAGCCGTTGACAAATTAGACATTATAAAAATATATGTTGTTCCTAAATATAATACTCAAGAATCTACATCTACAAACTTAAAAAGAGCCAATAAAGTTAGGTCCCGAAATTAAAAAATGTTGGTGTGATTGTTTGTTGAAATGAACAAGTTCATATTATTTTGATTTTAGTATTTTTTATATTATTTTTCCTACTTAACCATCTATTATATCATTTATTTTTTCTTAAATACTCATGCATTCTGGCGGTGTAAACTTTAATAACAGAATATTTCGTTAACTATTTATTATTCTTTAACTTACTAATTAATTTTTATAAGGAAGTTCTTAAGTTCGAACATCATCCCAATCAAAATTGACATAATTGGTAAACATATACTATGAATATGTTAGAGTATATTAAAAAAATACAATATAAAATTTAACATGCACTTTGATCAATCAATTAGAATCATGCATTGGGCATTGATGAAACGGTACACCTAATTTACGGTATATATTAATCATAGATGAGAAAAATTATGCCTATTATCATTGTCTTTTTGGGGAAGGAGGATTTGAGTCTATTTTTTAAGGTGCACTGTGCCAAGGTACTAAAATTGCAGTGAAGCGCCTCACGGGACTAGATTAAATCAAGAATTCATTTATGGCGGAAGTGGCAATAGGAGGAAGCATGAATCACACCAATTAATAAAGTTTTGTATTGCAAAGATTATGCTTGGGTGTACTATCCAGTGAGGGTGTTTCCCTCTAAAACTGCTATTGCACCAGTTAATTTTATGAAAATAATAATAATAATAATAATAAATTATGCCACAGGTCATAGTTATGCATTCTTGAAATATTTACTTTTATGAAAAATTTGATAATTTTACATTAATATACGCCAAGATACTAAATGATACTTTGATAAATTCTGAAACATTAATTTAAAATTACAAATTGAACATTAGACTATTCTCACAATACGCGTGTCGTAACTAGTACCTAATACAAGGCGTCCTCATCACGCGTATTTAGTACCTAATACAAGGCGTCCTCATCAGTAGAGCTATTCCCCTCTTAAGAATAAAAGAACATACCAAACAATGGAATAGGTATATTTCTAAAAATGCTATTTCATTCCCTATTTGCTCTATTATACAATTTTGTCCATTGCTCCATACGGCCATTTTGACAAACAAAAATTGCAGAACTGAAGATTCTTAAACTGCTATCTTCAAAAAAAAAAAAAAGATTCTTAAACTGCAGTGAGCAAAAGCGACATTGAAAGGTCGTAGGGGAACCTTTAAAAAAAATGTGTTTTTGTCCTATTTCAGAATATGGATAAGAAAATAAAATACACAGAAAACAGGAACCGATCGATCTGCATATCAATCATCAAACCAAGAATCCATCAAAAAATCAAATTGGACTAAAGAATTTGCTATTGAAATTTGGGCTAATAAAATAGAGTTTATATGGGCTGGTAAAAATAACGTAGTAACGAATCGGGCAAATTATGCCGTGGAACCGTGTTCACCTTGCAAGGTGGACACGATTTCAAAACTGTTCATAATTATGAATATATAATTCAAAAATTATGAACATGGAATTGTGAACACAATTATGAGCATATAATTCTGTAATTATGAATATAGAGATTCAATACTTTTGAATATGAAGTTAAAAAATTATGAATATATAACTTTATAATTATGAATATTAGGACTTTAGGTAAATTTTGATTTTTAGTAACCATATTTTTCAATTGATTTTTAGTAAAGTCCTAAACCAATTAAACCGGAAAAATAACAAAATAAAAATATTAAAAGACAAAATTGCCCTTACTAAAAATAGGAAAAGTCATGAGAAAGATTAAAAGTGTCCAAAAAATAATAGTATGAGATGTTAAATGGCAAAAACGATAGTCTGTGACTAAATTTAAAATTGCCACCGATGACAAGGGACCTTTGGTGGAATTAACTCTAACAAAAATTACTGAGCAAAGTTTATGAAAGATATAACTGTTTTTATTATAATTGACTTTTTCTACTTTTTCATTTTTATGCATGATACTTTATAACACTACATAGTAAGTTATACATACTATTTTTTGTTTTCTCTTATTTTGCTACAAGTACCCCAAAAAATTTGATACAATTCCATGATATACAAACACTTTAAAAAGATTTAAAAATAAACAACTACATGTAATCATATTTGGATTACAATATATTGGTCTTTTATCTATACCACCATAAAATTAGTCAAACTTCAAAGTGTCCAAAATGGCACATTTTTGGTGAATTTAGGCCTAGCAATGCATATTTAAATGGTTAAGTAGGTATCTAAGTAGTTATCAAAAAGGTATCTAAGTTATTCATTTATTAAATTCAAATCCCACCTTATATGTTATACGAATATAGACGTTATTTAAAAATTTCTTTCTTTTTATGTATTTATACTTAGGTTAAAAAATAATATATAAGATATAAAACTATGAATTATTTTGATACATTACTAATCAAGTGCAATCCCAATATGAAAGAAGTTATACCAACCAACTCCTACTCCCCTGCTTCTTGTGACAAGAGGGACAAAGAAGGCAGGCTAGGTAAAAGTAAGAATCGTATAATTATTATTGCCACATTTCTTTTAGTAAAAGATGATGATCGTTAAAGATGATGACTTGGACATCCATTAATTTTAATTTTGTCCCTTTATACACTGATACACACACACACATATATATATATATATACTAGTTTTTTACGCGCATTGCGCGATTGGGATAATGCCCAATACTTTTTTGTTAAATTAAGTACTTTAAAGTATATTAAGGCAGGATTATATTGAAATTGTTCATGCATAGATAATTGAAGGTTGAATTTGCGTATTTAAATAGATAATTCTTCTCCCAAAGGTTGAGTCCCCGACCCGACAGAGCATTGTGGGAAGTTGTAAATCACGGTGACTCAATGGTTCAGCAGACAGGGCCAAATGCTGATACGCACGAGGAATCTGCCCACTTTGGATATAATTCCCGCACTGCCGCCGCCGAGGTTCAAACCTTGGTCTCTTCTCCCAAATACTACCCACTAAACCATTGAGCTAAGCCCATGCGAGTTAAATAGGTAATTCTAAGTTTACAAATGCAAGATAATATAGTCAAGATTGATTATAATTGTCAATAAAATAATTGTATAGGTATAGTTGAAACCAAATACGGGACATAAGGGAGAACAAATAAAAATTATGGCATAAAATATTAAATATATACTAATATTGTTTGAGGAGATTCCGACATTAGGATTTGTGGTTAAATTCTATTAAGACTTTAATGTTAGAATTAGATTAATGGTGTAGTTATAATTCTATATTAGACTTTAATATTAGAATTAGACTAACGGTGAATTAACGGAAAAGTTAAATGGATAATCATATAATTAAGGATAAATTAGAAAATATTAAAAGAAAAAAATTAAAACCTGAACAATATGAACCATTCATTTGATTTAATAATTTGGCGGTCATTTTTTCTACCCAATGTTAATAATTAAATAAATTCGCTGGTCAAATCCGCTAGTATAATCCGCTAACTGCTGATTGTCAAACAAGGACATTGCGAGGTAGTTCTCACTTCAATTTGTTGTGTGATTTGAATACTCTCTTTGTCACAAAATCTCTCAAGTAGTTAATATGGTTGGCTTTATTAATTATATTTTTTTAATTTTTTCATGGTATTAATAAAATACTTGGTAAATAAATATATAGCATTATTTTGTATTATAACTTTGATATTTAATTAGAAAAATAGTGCACAAAAAAGATAATAGATAATGTAGTGAATATAATCAATTGATGAATTTGAATGTAAAAATTTTTACATTTGAGAAAAATTAAGACAATATAACTAATGAAAATATTTCTTTTAATTAATTTATT